GGGGGGGGGGGGGGGGGGCACACAGAGAGAGAGAGAGAGAGAGAGAGAGAGAGAGACTTCCTGGCAGTTAGAAAGGTATCTTTCTCAAATGTTTATGCAGACATATGCATTGCAAAGGCTTACCTTATCTGAGCTCGGTGATACTTGTGAAGATGAGATAACAGGGACTTGTAAAGAAGTAGCAATAGGAGACTGGTATTGTGGATTATCAGGGAAAGAGGGAATCTGCATTTTTGAAATATCATAGGTATAGGAAATAAAGGGAGGAAAGTGAAGGCAGATAGAGAAAGTGTGCAGTTAGAAGGCAGAACAAGAACAGTACTTCAGATCTTTCAAAGTAGAAGGCAAAACCACCACCACCACCACAACAGAAAGGCTGGGGAATGAGAAAGCCTGGGGAGATGAGAAAGTTATATTTTTAAATATAAACGTTTCCCAGTTGTTGATGGCCTTAGCACAGAAATTAGGTGGTGCATTTTGCTGAAAGAATATAGAAAATGTTGACAAGTAGGTTGGCTTAGATGCACATCTACAAATGTGTATGTGTGGAAATACTGGAGCGGCTAAGTTTTGGGGGAAAATGTAGCTGGAAGGGAGTACCAGAGGACAGATGCAATAGAAGCAGGCATCTTGCACAAACACAATCCAATCTCTTCTAATAGAGGTAGTTCACAACTTATGACCATTCATTTAGCGACCATTCAAAGTTACAATAGCGCTGAAAAAAGTGAGTTATGACTGGTCCTAGCACTTACAACCATCGCAGCCTCCCCATGGTCACATGATCACAATTAGGGCACTTGGCAACTGGCATGTATTTATGACAGTTGCAGCATCCTGGGGTCACGTGATTGGCATTTGTGACCTTCCCAGCCGGTTTCCAACAAGCAAAATCAATGGGGAAACATGATTTACTTAACAACTACCACAAAAAATGTCATAAAATCGGGTGCAGTCACATGATGCCTCACTTAACAACCACACTGCTTAATGATTAATTTTCTGGTCCCTGTTGAAGTTGTAAGTTGAGGACTACCTGTATGGCCAACACATACTGCTTACAAAGGCATACATCTCTACACCCAGTGTAAAATGGAGTTTTATGCTTATGGTGCCATTACTGTCGGATAGTATTTTGATGCTGGCCTTTTTAAATTTAGAGGAAGATAGCATAAGGCCTGGGATTAAAACCATACGTGTTAGAGACAACCTTCTGATTCTATCCTTTCCCTGTAATATACCCCAGCAATAGTCAAACATCAGGGCTGCCGAAGTTTCTGCTTTTTGCTTGGTTGAAGTTGTTAAAGCATTGCCAGTCCAGCACAAAAAGATTTTAAAAACTGTGTTTAGCTGCTATAGTTTTAAGGTTCCCATAATCAATAATTATGCATGGGGAACTGAAATTCTAAATTACAAATAACCTGCTCTTCTTATTATTATGCCCCCAAAGGCCCGTGGTTTCTTCTTCTTCTTCATCATCATCATCATCATTATCATCATCCAAAGCAGCTTCCAGTTTCTTAAGGGCTGTATGTATTGTATTTTTAATAGTGGTTGTACTTTTAATTCAGTTTTAATTGTCTTGTTAGTAGCCTTGAGTGCTTTTTATGCAGAAAAGAGAGATAAAAGTATTTAGATTAATAAACAAAGCATCCAAGTTACTTCCTAAATTGTGTATTAATTTTTCCATCTCTTGAAGAGTTCTTCAGACCCACACTTTGAGAAATGAGCCAGGATTGTACCCATAACTCTTGTCCTGTGACTGCCAGTACATACACTTATCACCTGTTGAGCAAGTCAGAACATACATTTCTGAGGAAGAGCTTGTACAGAAGATGTACAAGCTCTTCCACAGGAGAGGACACCTTGATTGTTTATATGGATGAACTCTCTTGCCTAAAACCCTGATTTTCTTGAATTCCCTTGTTGGCTGTCATCCTTGATAGCAGGACTAGAGGACCTGAGATGTGGCAGGAAAAACAGGCTCTGGCTTAGGAATCCCTCTTTTCACTGGACATCTTATAGTTCTGTATGAAGATCTTCTTTATGTATCACTTGTGACTTTTCACATACTTTACCTTTCAAAAACAAACTCTACAACCTCTGGTGCTGCCGCTACCTTATTTCATTTATATGTGACAAGTCATCAAGTTAATGAGCAAAGAAGCTTGTTTTCAAAGCTCAGTTTTCTTTTAGAAACCCCAATAAAATTGGCCAGAGAAGTACTAAACCAGCCTTTAAGACTGCATCTGAGTCACCAAATATTCTGAAAGCAGCAGGTTCAGGCTGCTTAGGGCTATTCTTGGAATGCCAATATTTCCCTTTAAGACACCCATTTAGGCCCCAAACTCAGAAATGCTTGAGGAGTGGCCATAACTGACTACTGATAGGGTCCTAGGTGTTTAAATGAAAATGGCCGACTTGCTAAACTCCTTACAAAGTTTTTGATATAGGCACAAGCCGTGAAAATGAAACGTTTACCTGCACGCTGCATTTCCTCGCCTCATGTTTTAAGGGAAACACATAACCAAGTTGTGCCTGCTGGTGCATTATGGCAAGAGAGAGGGCAACACAGACAGGCTATTTTGGGCTGTATATGCTTTAAGCATGTGTTTAACCTGCTCAGCTGCTGGAATAAAGGGACTTAATAGAGGTTTAACGTGGACAGCCTTTTTCTTTCTTTGGTAAATAAAACACATTTTCTCTGCTTTGCTGTGGAAGTGATATGAGGGAAACGATTCTACAATCATAACGGGCTCTAAGAGCCACTGCTATACTAGGAGCCATAATCTGCCCTCGGCTGTTGTCTTTCAAAGGGTATTTTCAGTGTCTTTCAAATATTGTCTTTGGTATTTGTTTATATGGTGTCTATGGGAATATCCATGTAGGCCTACAGGTCCCATCCTCCCCCCACCTCCAGGACAGGGCACCTCTTCACAGGAAGTCTTTTTGCAAAACATACTCAGAGCACCATACCATGTGTGTTTCTCCTTGTGAACAGACATTCATTGGTGACATTCGCTTTTGAACTGAGACTAAAGGAGGCCTTTCCCGTGCACACAGCTGCTTGTTTATTTTCCTCTGTAGAATTAGAGACAGGAAAATTGCCAGGAGGATCAAGGCAAGGATTGCCATTAGTACCACAAACCACAGCTCTGTGTAGAACATTCCTTGCTTTGGGTTGCCTTTGTTATTTTCTCCTGGAGTTGTCAAGATGGGACCTATGAAATCCAGAAAAACAGTTGGTGTCAGGCAGGGGATGGACAGGGAAGAGAGAGAGGGGGGAGGAGGAGGAGAGAAGAAAAGGTGTTATTTCAGAAAGAAAACATGTGATTCAGTTGTTCTCTGTCAATTTTGTAACATGTTGGTGGTACTTCATCCCACCCTGCTCATTTTCAAGGTACTGCAGTGCTTAAATATGGGAGTAGTCAGGGATGTAAGCCACCTTTCACCATGGAGACTCTATTTTAAGTATCAGCATGGCTGCTTTCAGTGGGAATCAGCTCTAAATTGGGAAGAAGAGGCAGGCAGTGTGTGTTGAAACTAAGGCAGATGCATCAGAGTAATCTTGAACAGCTGAAATTAGGTGGTGAGTTTAGGCTTTTAGGTCTAGGCATGTTGCGAAAAGCTTTCCTGCGCTTGTGCCAAAGAAATCCGACTGACAATGCCTATCACAGTTCTTGTGATGGTATTAAAAAAAAATTAAACAGGGATGTCTGGGATTGAATAAATGGGGTAAGATTTACAAAGGATTTCATTGTTGTTGTTTTACCAGCAAATAATATGTACAGTATTTGCAAACATATCTGGATAAATGTCAGACAATTTGATCATGCAAGCCTAAAGCAATATATTGTGAATTTTTGAAGGAATATATGTATCAGTGAAATAATAGCATGGAAGCATGCCAAGGCAGTAAACCAACTATGCTACTCACTCACCAAATGAATGAATAAATGAATGCTAATCTGTCATTTTCCCTTTTCATTAATTGCCTCTTCTATTGTTTTCAGCTTAAGGTAATGTCTTGGCTGTGTGCACATTTCATTCTTGCAGACAAGACAGCAACAATGTTAACACATAAACATTTTTGTATTATAAATAAGAGCTACCCAGAAGCTTGAACAGGAATGTATGAAAAAGAGTTTAACACCTTCTCACTCCCTCTGTCATGGCCAAGACAAGCTACTTCTTCAAAGTTTGCTATTTGCATTCAAATGGAGATTTCCCTTCAAATGCAAATAGCAGCCTTAGACTGGTGATTTTTGTCAGGCTGAGGCACAACATTAAACTTCCTCTCCCTGCCCACCCATCCCACCATCCTGAGACTTCTGGACAGCTGTTATTTCTACAAAAAATAATGTGCACATTTATTTGTATGGACCCAATTAACATCATGTTGAGTTTGATTTATGTACAGGAAGTATTCAGGATATCAGTACAATACAATTAAGACTAGAGAGAACCAGTTAGTATAAGGGGATACACTTGAGGTATTTGTGGAGAATAGGTCTTGATTCATCTTTTTGTGATCCTATGCCTGATAAAAAGACCTGTATTATACAAGAGCCCAAGCACTAAACACGTTTGCATATCTTACAGTGCATAGATGCAATTAAGAGGATAAAACAGTTCTCTTTCTATAGACTAAGTGCTTCGTAGTTATAGCTAATAATGATAACACCACTTCCAGATACAGCGATGAGCAATTTTTTAAAGTAGTTACCGAATCCAATAGCAGCGTTGTATTTGATTACTGGTGTTACAGCACTCCCTTCATCAGTGATGCAAGTCACCTGAAATAAATAAGCTGAAAAGAAATGAGGAATTAAAAATATGAGCATCATATGCGCCTCTCATATTATCATTTCATTTGCATCTCTAGATAGAAGCAATTCTGTCCTTTCTGTCTCAGAAGGCATAAGATGCATTGATATTCTCCCTCCAGGCTTGGAAAGCTTGCAAATGATCACACTACTCTTTTGGGGTTGCAAAAGTCCAGATACCCACAAGATGGCAGCAAAGCGTTTTCTCTGTCTCTTGGCTGCCATTGAGTTTTCACTTTGATTTTTGTCGCCCAGAACTGGAAGCAAGCTGGAAGTTATCCTAAAACCTGTAGCCCTCAAGTATGCCACCAAATGCCAGTGCACTGTATTTATATTTGATAGGTCATTTAAATAGATCCCCACATGTAAGGGGAGGAAGTAACAACCAGCAATGAATATTGCTTCTTCTAATTGCTATCCCCATGCTACAGCTAGCAAAACCTGAGAACCATTGAAGCTCCTTGATCTTTAACATTTTTTCTGATTTTATCAGTACCTTAACAATCGACACACATGTGGGAGGAGATCCTCAGAATCTGTTCCTGGCTGTCCTTTTATTACACTAGTATTTCAGCAAATTGTCTGATTTTTTTTTTTTTCATTTAGTTTTCTCTCTTACAAAGTGCACAAGCTCAAAAGCTAGATGTAGGTATCCAAGAATATTAAAAATAATGGCTAGTATATAGTTGGCCAAAGGCTGTTAGGTGAGGTGCAGAGGAAAGAAAGTTCCATTTCTGCTGCTGTGATGGAATGTATCTATGAGGGGGAGAGTGATGTGGGAGATCAAGGCTATTGGGAAGGAGGGGGTGCACTCCAGGAGGGAGGAGGAGGCGGCAAGAGGCAGCATAGTCCTCAGGAGGAGCGAGGGAAGCGAAAGAGGTTCAGGATAGCCACTCCCTAGAATCTCACAGGGTACAGTGGTCCCTCGGGTCACGAACTTAATTCGTTCCGCGACTCTGGTCGCGACCCAAATTGGTCGCGCCCCAAATCAAATTTTCCCATAAGGTTCAATGTAAATACAGTTAATCCGTTCTGACCCCTATGAATTTGGTCACCAACCGAATTTGGTCACGACCCGAATCAAATTTTCCCATAAGGTTCAATGTAAATACGGTTAATCG